GGGTGGTCAGTTTCAAGTGGACTCCTGATCCACTCGATCTTAGCCAAGGGTGAACTTTCCCGTGTTGTTTTGTCTGGCCTTGGATTTTTGTCAATGTAAAACATGGCTCTTCTTCCTTCAAAGGCAGGAGGAGACTTTATTCTGAGTGACCTAGAAGGGATCCAGGTTATCCAAATAACGTGTTCAAAATGGAAGCAGTTATATGAAGCTGTTATAATCATAAAACAAAGTAAGTCATAGCCAAAGAAAGCATTTATCAAATGTGATGGTAGAAACAGCGAGGGGGGACAGTAAAATGGGGAGCCACTGTTAGAGGTCCCGGATGCTGAAATCCACAGCTTTGGGGCTGGTGGTTGTTAATTCAGTTCATCCCGGAGGTTTAGCCTGATAGTTGGAAGGATGTGGGTCAGACACAGGTTGGTGCTAAATGGCTCACAAGCAGAGGAAAGATAATCTGATTCTGGACCTACAACAAGGCAGCTCTCCATAACCGTAGGATTCTAATCCATCAGCCTTGCAGGAGAATCCTTAGCCTCTCCTGGGGGCTTCAGTTTACAATGTATCTAAAACACTCAAACATTGTCATTTGAACACTGTATTTCCTGAAAACATCATTTGTGTTAAGTTTTAACCCTGGGACAGCTGGCTGAGATGCCTATTTAGCATGTCAAAGCTGGACCTTGCTGCTAGGCTCTCCCAGCATCCCTGAGCCCCCACCTGCTACAGGCTGTGGCTGGCATACCACCCCCACCCTGAGCTCTCCAACCCAGGGGCTGGGCTGCCCTTCCCCCAGATCCTCTTCCCTATAGAGTCCAGACAATTTAGTTAAACTTCTCTTTTTGGTCCTTTGGCCTCCTGGCTGCAGCACCTCTCCCTTCCTCCTTCCTCCCTTTCTTCCTTCTCCCTTCCCCTCCTCCTCTCCCACATGGCCCAGCTCAGCCCAGTCATGTCCACTCCGGACTCTCCCCGAGGTCCCTGCCTCTGACTATGCTCTCCCTTGTATCTACAATAGACCTTCTCCTCCACCACGCCTAGGAGCAGTCACGCCCTTCCTTTCCTTTTTATTGTTTCCTTTACATTCAATTTGTATAGCACTGTTCCAGAGTCCTTAAACCCCTGCTTATCACTGGGGACCCGGCTTCTGAACTTGTAAGAGGCACACACTCTACCAGCCTTAGAAGCTCTGCGTCTCACCAGGTGATGGCCAACGACACACTGAACATTCCTTGATGAGCTGCTGATGCTGTGGTACCCTCAATCTTTTATCTTTGCCCTTTAGTTCACCCCTAAATTGTTGGTTTTACCGTTTTATAAGTATTATTCACAAAAGGGCATTTTCCCTGTATTGGTTGCTTTGCTCAACCTGAAACTCTTCCCGCACATTAAAACAATGTCCTTCTCTGCTCATACCTTCTTAAGCTAATACCCATGGGCCTGAGGATGTAGCTCGGTTGGTGGAATGTTTGCCTGGTATAGTGAAACGTTTGGTTCAATTCCCAGCACTGCCTAAACAAGGTGTGGTAGTGTACACCCACCATCCCAGCATTTGAGAGACAGAGGCAGGAGAACCATCAGTCCTTGGCTGGGCGTGGTGGCGCACACCTTTCATCTCAGCACTCGGGAGGCAAAGGCTCGCAGATCTCTGTGAGGTCGAAGCCAACCTGGTCTACAGAGTGAGTCCCAGGACACCCAGGGCTACACAGAGAAATCCTGTCTTAGAAAAAAAAACCTAACTTAATAAATAAAGAGAATCATCACTCCTGAAACTCCGAAACATGGAAGACAAAGCAGAGCTTTCTGTCACAAAGTCACCATTTAGGAATACCCCTTTAAAAACACGAACCCTGGGCAGAATCAGCTCTCCTTTGAGAAGACCAGATAGTTCTAGGTGCTTCTTAAACCATAGGCTTCTTAAACCACAGAGATGCAAAAAAGAAAATTAAAACAACAACAACAACAACAAAAAAACACAACAGAAAAAAAGTTTCTAAACAGGCAGCAACCAAAAGATAACTTTAAAAAAAAGACGTAATGAATTTGAGGCATCTCTGGGAGAACTCGAGGATGTTGCATCACGTGACTTGGGAGCAGCCTTGACCTAAACACACGGTATACACTGTGCACACCCTGCCTGCTGCCACACCACACACCAAGGAACACTGCCTGAAACATTCAGTCTCAAGAGCATTCCGTGCTATGAATCACAGTGTTTTCACTGTGAAGACAAACCTCGCTTGTGTAAAAACGTGACGGTTCGTTTGCAGAAGGCTGACTTTGAATACTAGTTAGTGTTTACCCACTGTCACTCCCCGGCAGGGAGGCATTGTGTTAGGATTGTGACAGACATCCTTCTCAGTATGCACATTTGCTTTTTATCTTCATCACTGGTAAACCGGCGTGTGTACTGAAGATGAATTTCTTCCTGACTCACAAAGACTCACTAGGAAGAGGCCTGCCCCTTGGAATAGACCAGCTGATGCTGCATGCCCCGTCACCAGCTGCGCGTGGAACTCTCAGTCTGAGCTGACAATGGGGGCAACAGACAGCCCTTCTGGAAGACTTCTGATACCCAGATACACGATTGGCTGGATCCACACAGCTCTATGGTTAAAAAGGAAGCCTTTAAGACGTTCCATGGCCATTCAGATGGCTCAGTGGGTAAAACATTTTCTACCAAGCCTGAGCGCCTGCTTGGTCTCTGCGGCAGGTTTGTGGTCCCCTCAGATCGTGGCGGTCAGTGTCATTGTCAGTCCCACGTGTCTGTGAGCGTGTTTCCAGAGAGGCTTAGCTGAGGGAGGACCCACCCTGACTGTGGGCAGGACCATCCCACAAACTGGAGGCTGAGACCAAACAAAAGGGAGGAAAATGAGGAACCCTAAGACCACCCTACCCCATCTCTCCCCACTTCCTGGTCCCCGAGACCCAAGGAGACAGGAAGTCCCAGTTGCATGATCCCGCCCCCCCACAAAGGAGACAGGAAGTCCCAGTTGCATGACCCCCCCACCACAAAGGAGACAGGAAGTCCCGGTTGCATGCCCCACCCCCACCACAAAGGAGACAGGAAGTCCCAGTTGCATGACCCCCCCACCACAAAGGAGACAGGAAGTCCCGGTTGCATGCCCCCCATTGCCACAAAGGAGACAGGAAGTCCCAGTTGCATCCCCCGCCCACAAAGGAGACAGGAAGTCCCAGTTGCATGACCCCCCCACCACAAAGCCACCCTTGGTCTTCGCCACCACAGTGGACTGTGTCTGCTTAAACAGCAGCCCGTGAGCCTTTCCTGCAGTTGTCCTCTCCAGGCGTTGTGTCATAGCAGCGAGAAAAGTAATAAGGTAACGCTTGCTGCAATCCACTCTCCCTCCATATACATAGATGTGTGTGTGTGAGTGTCTGTATGTGCGAGTGTGTGTGTATGTGTGAGTATGTGTGAGTGTGTGAGCGTGTGAGTGCGAGTGTGAGTGTGTGAGTGTCTGTGTGTGTGAGTGAGTGTGTGTGAGTGCGAGTATGAGTGAGTGTGTGAGTGTGAGTGTGTGTGTCTGTGTGTGTGAGTGAGTGTGTGTGAGTGTGAGTGTGTGAGAGTGTATGAGTGAGTGTGGGAGTGATTGTGAGTGTGTGTGTGAGTGTGTGAGTGTGTGTGTGAGTGTGTGGGTGTGAGTGTGTGAGTGTATGTGTGTGAGTGTGTGAGTGTGTGTGGGTGTGAGTGTGTGAGTGTGTATGTGGGTGTGAGTGTGTGAGTGTATATGTGTATGAGTGTGTGAGAGTGTGTGAGAATGTGTGTGAGTATGTGAGCGTGTGAGTGAGAGTGGTTGTGAGTGTGTGAGTGAGAGTGGTTGTGTGAGTGTGTGAGAGTGGTTGTGTGAGTGTGTGAGTGAGAGTGGTTGTGTGAGTGTGTGAGTGAGAGTGGTTGTGTGAGTGTGTGAGGGTGAGTGTGTGAGGGTGAGTGTGTGAGTGTGTATGAGTGTGAGTGTGTGAGAATGTGTGTGACTGTGTGAGTGAGTGTGTGTGAGTGTGTGATTGTGTGAGAATGTGTGTGACTATGTGAGTGTGAGTGTGTGAGTGTGTGTGTGAGTGTGTGAGTGTGTGAGAGTGAGTGTATGTGTGTGGGTGTGTGAGTGTGTGACTGTGTGAATGAGTGTGTGAGTGTGTGAGAATATGTGTGACTGTGTGAGTGTGCATGAGTGGTTGTGTGAGTGTGAGTGTGTGAATGTGAGTGTGTGAGTGTCTGTGAGTGAGAGTGTGTGAGTGTGTGAGTGTCTGTGAGTGTGAGTGTGTGAGTGTATGAGTGTGTGTGAGTGTGTGACTGTGTGAGTGTGTATGAGTGGTTGTGTGAGTGTGTGTGAGTGTGTGTGAGTGTGTGAGTGTCTGTGAGTGTGTGTGAGTGTATGTGAGTGTGTGAGTGTATGTGTGAGTGTGTGAGTGTATGTGTGTGTGAGTGTGTGTGTGAGTGTGAGTGTGTGAATGTGAGTGTGTGAGTGTCTGTGAGTGTGAGTGTGTGAGTGTATGAGTGTGTGTGAGTGTGTGACTGTGTGAGTGTGTATGAGTGGTTGTGTGAGTGTGTGTGTGAGTGTGTGAATGTGAGTGTGTGAGTGTATGTGTGAGTGTGAGTGTGTGAATGTGTCATATGACACCTGCTCCTTCCTCATCTTTGTCCTTATTCTTCTTCCCTTCCGTGCCCAGGTCATAATTTTTCTACCAATCAATCTTCTCAAGATTGTTTTCCTCCCTAAGGAGCACACTTTTGTTTGTTAATACTCAAATCCTTCTTGGAGGCCCCTAGCATTCTGTCTCCCTGGGGAAGGGAATTTCCTCAGCCTCTTTGGTTGCTTAGCAACAGGTCTGCTTCCTGACACGTCACCACCCCTGGCAAGATGGCAGCTGACACCACAAAGGAAGGGACACTACCTCTGCCAGGCTCCCTGGCCCTCGGCCCCACGATGACTGGCTGTGGGCTGCTCCGCCACCCTTCCCTAGTAAGCTGCGGCTGTGCTCCTTGGGGGTCCTGGGGTGCCATGACTCGTCGGGTTTCCTATTGCTGGACATGGCGGGAGATTCCGGGTTAGTCCCTGATTCTGTGCAGCCATCTCCTTTGTAACGGGCCCACAGTAGACTTCCGCTGTCATCTTAGAGTCACCGGGGCTGTGTGCAAAACCACACCCATATTCTCCCCCGCGCTTTCCACGGTGTGCGAGAGGCGCTTCCTCAGCCGCCAAGCCTCTCTGGCATCTTTGGCTCCTCCTGTGCGCATTCTCAGCTTTGGAGCCTGGAATGGTAACTGACGTCATCACAGAGAACAGACACGCCCCCGGGTGGAATGCGCACACAGAGATGTGACCTCACTTCCGGAGCCAACCGAGGAAGGAGGACGCCCCAAACTCACTCTCTAGAGTCCTGAAAGAGAACAGGAGACAGGGAGAGACACACAAAGAGGAAGAACCAACTCTGCTCTGAGGAAAAGACATCCGCGGGAGCGAGCTGACGCACACAATCGTCATAGTAATACCAAGAAGCACCCACAGCCACGGGCCACACCCACGGGCCACGCCCACGGGCCACACCCGCGGGCCACGCCCACTGTAGGGATAAACGTCTGTTAACCGTGCGCAGTGCATGTCCCACACACCACACTGGCGTAGGTGCGGATGGCGGTAGTGGTCGGATGAACACGTGCTGCGCAGGGTTAGTATTGAACACTGATCCCAGTTGGCGGCTCTTCTGGGGAGGCTTGGGAGGTGTCATCTTGCTGGACAAGCGCAGCACTCAGAGCTGACCTGCAGTGAACCGCAGCTGTCCCCAGCCCGGGTCTTCTCGCTCTGCTGCGTACTTACAACAGAAGGTGTGGTCTCTGAGCCTCCTGCCCTGCTGCCACGCCTGCCACTCCCTGTCACTCATGACACGCCTGTCACTCCCTGTCACTCATGACACGCCTGTCACTCACTGCCTGTCACTCATGACACGCCTGTCACTCCCTGTCACTCATGACACACCTGTCACTCCCTGTCACTCATGACACACCTGTCACTCACTGTCACTCATGACACGCCTGTCACTCATGACACGCCTGTCACTCATTGCCTGTCACTCATGACACGCCTGTCACTCACTGTCACTCATGACACACCTGTCACTCCCTGTCACTCATGACACACCTGTCACTCCCTGTCACTCATGACACGCCTGTCACTCACTGTCACTCATGACACGCCTGTCACTCATTGCCTGTCACTCATGACACGCCTGTCACTCACTGTCACTCATGACACACCTGTCACTCCCTGTCACTCATGACACGCCTGTCACTCACTGTCACTCATGACACGCCTGTCACTCACTGTCACTCATGACACGCCTGTCACTCACTGTCACTCATGACACGCCTGTCACTCATGACACGCCTGTCACTCATGACACACCTGTCACTCCCTGTCACTCATGACACGCCTGTCACTCATGACACGCCTGTCACTCCCTGTCACTCATGACACGCCTGTCACTCACTGTCACTCATGACACGCCTGTCACTGTCACTCATGACACGCCTGTCACTCATGACACGCCTGTCACTCCCTGTCACTCATGACACGCCTGTCACTCACTGTCACTCATGACACGCCTGTCACTGTCACTCATGACACGCCTGTCACTCATGACACGCCTGTCACTCACTGCCTGTCACTGTCTGTCACTGTCACTCATGACACGCCTGTCACTCGCTGTCACTCATGACACGCCTGTCACTCCCTGTCACTCATGACACGCCTGCCACTCATTGCCTGTCACTCACTGCCTGTCACTCACTGTCTGTCACTCACTGTCTGTCACTGCCTGTCACTCATGTCTGTCACTCACTGTTTGTCACTGTCACTCACTGTCTGTCACTCATGTCTGTCACTGTCTGTCACTCACTGTTTGTCACTGTCACTCACTGTCTGTCACTCATGTCTGTCACTGTCTGTCACTCACTGTCACTCATGTCTGTCACTCATGTCTGTCACTCATGTCTGTCACTCACTGTCTGTCACTCCCTGTCACTCATGACACGCCTGTCACTCACTGTCACTCATGGCACGCCTGTCACTCATTGCCTGTCACTCACTGCCTGTCACTCACTGTCTGTCACTGCCTGTCACTCATGTCTGTCACTGTCTGTCACTCACTGTCTGTCACTGTCACTCACTGTCTGTCACTCACTGTCTGTCACTGCCTGTCACTCATGTCTGTCACTCATGTCTGTCACTCACTGTCTGTCACTCACTGTCTGTCACTCATGTCTGTCACTCATGTCTGTCACTCATGTCTGTCACTCACTGTCTGTCACTCATGTCTGTCACTCACTGTCTGTCACCCATGTCTGTCACTCACTGTCACTCACTGTCACTCACTGTCTGTCACTGTCTGTCACTCACTGTCTGTCACTGTCTGTCACTCACTGTCACTGGCTGTCACTCACTGTCTGTCACTCACTGCCTGTCACTCACTGCCTGTCACTCACTGTCACTCACTGTCTGTCACTCACTGTCTGTCACTGTCTGTCACTCATGACACGCCTGTCACTCACTGTCACTCATGACACGCCTGTCACTCACTGCCTGTCACTCACTGCCTGTCACTCACTGCCTGTCACTCACTGTCTGTCACTGCCTGTCACTCATGTCTGTCACTGTCTGTCACTCACTGTCTGTCACTCATGTCTGTCACTGTCTGTCACTCACTGTCTGTCACTCATGTCTGTCACTGTCTGTCACTCATGTCTGTCACTGTCTGTCACTCACTGTCTGTCACTCATGTCTGTCACTCACTGTCACTGTCTGTCACTGTCTGTCACTCACTGTCACTGTCTGTCACTGTCTGTCACTCACTGCCTGTCACTCACTGTCTGTCACTGTCTGTCACTGTCACTGTCTGTCACTCACTGTCTGTCACTCACTGTCTGTCACTGTCTGTCACTGTCACTGTCTGTCACTGTCTGTCACTCATGACACGCCTGTCACTCATGACACGCCTGTCACTCACTGCCTGTCACTCACTGCCTGTCACTCACTGTCTGTCACTGTCTGTCACTCACTGTCTGTCACTCATGACACGCCTGTCACTCACTGCCTGTCACTCACTGCCTGTCACTCACTGTCTGTCACTGCCTGTCACTCACTGTCTGTCACTCACTGTCTGTCACTGTCACTCACTGCCTGTCACTGTCTGTCACTGCCTGTCACTCACTGTCTGTCACTGCCTGTCACTGTCTGTCACTGTCTGTCACTGTCTCTCACTGTCACTCACTGTCTGTCACTCACTGTCTGTCACTCACTGTCTGTCACTCACTGTCTGTCACTGCCTGTCACTCACTGTCTGTCTCTCACTGTCTGTCACTCACTGTCTGTCACTGTCTGTCACTCACTGTCTGTCACTCACTGTCTGTCACTGTCTGTCACTCACTGTCTGTCACTGCCTGTCACTCACTGTCTGTCACTGTCTGTCACTCACTGTCTGTCACTGTCTGTCACTGTCTGTCACTCACTGTCTGTCACTGTCACTCACTGTCTGTCACTGTCACTGTCTGTCACTCACTGTCTGTCACTGTCTGTCACTCACTGCCTGTCACTCACTGTCTGTCTCTCACTGTCTGTCACTCACTGTCTGTCTCTCACTGTCTGTCACTCACTGTCTGTCACTGTCTGTCACTGTCTGTCACTCACTGTCACTCACTGTCACTCACTGTCTGTCACTGTCTGTCACTGTCACTGTCTGTCACTGTCTGTCACTCATGACACGCCTGTCACTCATGACACGCCTGTCACTCACTGCCTGTCACTCACTGTCTGTCACTGTCTGTCACTCACTGTCTGTCACTCATGACACGCCTGTCACTCACTGCCTGTCACTCACTGCCTGTCACTCACTGTCTGTCACTGCCTGTCACTCACTGTCTGTCACTCACTGTCTGTCACTGTCACTCACTGCCTGTCACTGTCTGTCACTGCCTGTCACTCACTGTCTGTCACTGCCTGTCACTGTCTGTCACTGTCTGTCACTGTCTCTCACTGTCACTCACTGTCTGTCACTCACTGTCTGTCACTCACTGTCTGTCACTGCCTGTCACTCACTGTCTGTCTCTCACTGTCTGTCACTCACTGTCTGTCACTGTCTGTCACTCACTGTCTGTCACTCACTGTCTGTCACTCACTGTCTGTCACTCACTGCCTGTCACTGTCTGTCACTCACTGTCTGTCACTGCCTGTCACTCACTGTCTGTCACTGTCTCTCACTGTCACTCACTGTCTGTCACTCACTGTCTGTCTCTCACTGTCTGTCACTCACTGTCTGTCTCTCACTGTCTGTCACTCACTGTCTGTCACTGTCTGTCACTGTCTGTCACTCACTGTCACTCACTGTCACTCACTGTCACTCACTGTCTGTCACTGTCTGTCACTCACTGTCACTCACTGTCACTCACTGTCACTCACTGTCTGTCACTGCCTGTCACTCACTGTCTGTCACTGCCTGTCACTCATGTCTGTCACTGTCTGTCACTCACTGTCTGTCACTCACTGTCTGTCTCTCACTGCCTGTCACTCACTGTCTGTCACTGTCTGTCACTGACTGTCACTCACTGTCTGTCACTCACTGCCTTGCTTCTCTGCCATGACAGATTCTTACTTCTCTGGAACCGTGACCTCATAAGTTCTTCATCTTGTGAGTTGCTTTTGGCCATGGTGATTTACTGCAGCCACAGAAAAGAAACTAACACAATGTCTCATGGGAACATCCAAGAGTTTGAAGAACACTTGACTGAGTTTCTTTTCTCACTTTACACAATACCTGGAAACGACACTAAAGGGAGAAAGGGTTTATTTTGCCTCCCAGTTTGAGGCAAACACGAAGGCGTGGTCCAGGGGAGCCAGCGGGCCACCCTGCCTCTGCAGCCGGGAAGCAGGGAGAGAGAGCTGCTCTCAGCTTGTTCCCCATGGGGGCTCCATCCGTGAAGGGAGTGACCTTCACTTAGTGGACCTTCCCACCTCAGTCGACACAGTCCAGAAATCTCGGGCGACATGCCCAGAGCTCTGTGTCCATGGTGATTCTTTTTTTTTTTTTTTTTTTTTTTTGGTGTTTCGAGACAGGGTTTCTCTGTATTGTTTTGGAGGCTGTCCTGGAACTCGCTTGGTAGTCCAGGCTGGCCTCGAACTCACAGAGATCCACCTGCCTCTGCCTCCCGAGTGCTGGGGTTAAAGGCAGGCGCCACCAACGCCCGGCTCCATGGTGATTCTGACTCTCACCACAACTAAAGCATTGGCGCACGCGGAATCAGAGTGTGTGATGGTGGACCACACAGAGCTTGATGTCCGCGACAATGAACATTTGACCACGTGGCTGCTGTGCACTTCTGATGTAACTAGTCTGAACTGAGACGCACTAGGCGTGGAAACCGGATCTCAAAGACTTGGTACTTAAAGAGAGTAGAGCAGCTGGAGGCGGGTCCGTGGTTAACAGCACAGGTTGCTGTGTCATGTAGTTTTCCACCCCGCCATCCGCCTGAGCCCTCCCACAGCTGCTGTCCCCAAATAACACACAGGACGCTATGTTAATTATGAAGCTGTTGGCCGTTTGCTTGTTTCTTACTGGCTAGCTCTGACTTAAGTATTTAACCAATAATTGTTAATCTAAGTACGTTTCTTACCGGAGAA